TCCACTGACAAATGACTAATCGGTCTGATTCCTAAAAGGACCTCTGTATCCTATTCATTCTAGTTCTAGTGTGTGACATAGTGCCATGATTCAGTTGAGCACTAGTAGCAATCGCAGTGTGGTTTCTGCTTCAAAGTCTCTGAATGCGTTCAGCATTAGGAAAAATCTTTCAGAAAAGGATAAGCGAATCCAAAGGATGAGCGTTACTTATACGTTAATCACTTAATAAATTGGAAATTAACGGTTAAGTATAACCCGTTAATAGTTAATATTAACGTTAACATCAACCGTTAACGTTAATATTGACGGTTAATAGTTTACTGTTTACGTTAATTTCAAATTAACGGAAATGGTCCACCCTTGTTGTAAGATTTTCACGAATAAGACGATTCGTATTCCCTTCTGTGTTTTTTTTTTCATTCAGATGTTCTTGTTCACAAGAAGAAGTTTCTAATGAGTGCTTCTTTATCCTCGATTTATCAAAACTTATTTCTTTTTTAAAGAATAACTGAGAGAACAGCAATTTCTTCCTCTTAACATTTCTTCACATTGCTTAACTTGACTATAACTTTCTTCCGCTTTTTCGACACCAAAAGAAATGAAAATATAAAACAATTCCTAAGATTTCAAAATATGAAGTTTTACACATAATTCGAGATATCTCGTAGTCATCAACTTCTATATAGAAAAAAATTTTTTGTAATCCGCTACGTTACACTTTTCTGAACTATTCAACTAATTTTATACATAACTTTTGACTGAGCATATAGAAAAATCGAATTCGACAGTTACTTTTTATTGTTGTTAAATATGAACAGACAAAATGATTAAAAACATCGCTTTGTAAACTATTCAACTCTCTGGCAATTGTAATATCAAATTTATATCCTTGTCATCTTTAAAGATTTCAATACTTCTCTATATCTCTCAAGCTGAAATATATCTCGAACTTAAAGCATCATGATAAAGATGATAAGGTATCCAAACAACACAACGGGCAAACACAATAAATTTCACTGCTATATCAAAACATATATAAATATTATTAACATATGTACGTTTGATCATTGTAATCAGAAACATTGGAATATCTGTAATAACATCAATAATAATACAATGAATAGCTGGTATCATTATCATTATCTTTTTCTCTTCTTTACTTCGTAAACACACTGACATTAATGGAATCACCCAAATAAAAAGATTGATAATATAAAACACGAAATACGCTTTTATCGTATTATCCCAAAACACCATATGCGATTCTTTTAAATACAATATAATAACGACAATATGTGAAATAAGATCAGCATATTCATAACTCCACAGTGTTAAATGTCTAAAACAAGAATTCATTCACACTCT